GAAAGAAAGAAAGAAAGAAAGAGACAAAGCTGCCTTCCCGCAGAAGGTTTATGGAAGGCACACTCACTGGAGAGCACCTTCCAGGCGGGGTATGTCCTTGCGTCCTTACCCATACCCTCTAATATGGAGCAGGAGGCAGAAACGACCGAGCAGTCTTATGAGTACGACTCCCTTGAGAAGGGCAAGATCCGTAAGGAGAGAACCACTGCAAGTCCTATCCCACTTGCTCATACACCAATTCAGAACGCAGCATTCCCGCTCACTCCACTTGCATGGAGGAACTCAACCTCAATGCGGTCATACAGGCAGCCGACAACCTGACCGCCAGGCCCGCGAGCGGGCCAATTCGAAAATCTGCTAACAAAGCAAAAACATGTTGTTTGCCAATTTGTACTTGGCAATAGTCACCGCGAGGTGGAGGAACTCTCTGGCAAGCGAGCTACATGAAGTGTTTGGAGAAGGAGCAGAAGAAGATCAATGACATCATGTTATGCTCGAGATGAACCCGAACATGACGGTCAGCAACCATGCTGAAGCTTACTAAACTGCCAAGGAAGTGCTAGATCGCCAAAAAAAGAGCAGATATAAGGCTTGATATCGAGATGGAGCGGGCCAAGGCAGAGAGAGGAAAAGGGTTGCCGGCTGGACTGGTGAAAGATCCCATTGTCTCCGACAACCAGACCGCCGACCAGTCCGAGACGACCGTGGGACATCAAAATGTTCCTGAGTACATTCGGCCGTGTTCGTTTCGGCAGTAGTGCAGTAAGAGAAGCTCTTCTGTCCCTAACCCAAGGCGTTTCGGCCACCAAAAAAAAAAAAAAGGCTTCCATCACTGTGCTACTGCCTTAACGAACACGCCCTTTGTAGCCAGCGCGAGAACCCGCTAGGTTCCCACAGTTTTGATCGTCCTCGTCTTGCTTGCCCAGAGCAGTTCAAGAACTTCTCCAACCAGCCGACTGGTCGACGATGATAATATCGATTTTATCGTCGGCCAGCTGCACGGCTGGCTGCTATGATGCAAGCTCAGCACTACACGCACCAGCACTTCAACAAGTTAGTTAACTTCTCTAACCAGCAGCGTACCGGCCAGTTGACGATGATGACAACGATTTCTCCGTCGGTCGGCTGGCTCCCCATTTCAAAAGCGGGAGGCAAGACCGACTTACCTTACTGTCTCCCCGTCAACGTGGTGACCGGCACCAAGCACGAGGTGGGAGGGTCGTGGGAGGATGGGATGGAGCAAGGAAGATGGGAAGGGTGTAGGAGTGATGTTTTTAGGATCTGGTAAGGGGTATATGTATTAGTTCCGTAGATCTGATCTCAAGAACAAAATAACAACATTTGAACCTCATATCCCTCGCGCCCATGCCCATACCTCCACTGAATTGCCGTATGCCATTATTTGCTCTTAAGATATGTGTCTGGACACAGCGAAAGGCGATCGAGGCAACTGTCAGAGATGCATCAAATCAACTAGAAAAGATCAGACAGGTGGTTGTCATTGAGGGACTTGTAGCGAAGCATTGTTGACTTACTTTGCATCATTTACCCTTTTAAATGTTCTGTGCCAAGCTACCCATCATCCCTGGGACCAGGATGCATCGCAGCCTCAACACGCGGCCGGTAAGCGTTGCGGCACAGGCACGTACATGCGCAGGGACACTCAAAACACCAAGATCCAAGCCCAACTTCCATCAAAGGCGGGTTTAGCTCAGTTGGGAGAGCGTCAGACTGAAGTCCACTTCACTCATAAATCTGAAGGTCGTGTGTTCGATCCACACAAACCGCAATCAACCTTTCCTTTTGCCGATTTCATGATTTTTGTGGTGGAGTTTTTCATGTTGTTGCCGGAAGGGGCGCAGCAAGGGTGATCCTGTTTTCGAACTTGAGCACACTGTGGACGTGACTCGCGTGTAAGTCGTGGACTGGGGCAATCTATCTTGCACCAAAAAGGGAATCAACAAGAACACTTGGATGGACGGGAACTGCTTTTTTTTTTTTTTTTT